TGAAAATTATTAAAGGAACAACATAGATTGAGATTCTCTTGGGGTGGGAGTTTAGATGGTGCTCCCATGAGAATCCCAGTACACAGAGCTCACTGAAATGAACAAGGAAGCTTCTATTTGGCTGTATGGGCATTTTATGTTCCCTCAATCAATAGAGACATGGAAATACCTTTATGAAGTGTGCACATAGGCATACACTCCAGAGATTAATTGAGAGAGTTGGTTTATCTATTCTAACAAATGTTGGTTAAATTGCATTTTCTTTTTCTCCAGAACTATCAATAGTTTTCCTTTTTCAGATTGAATACATAAATCAAAAGAACATATTTCATGAACAAACTATGATTATGAAACTCCTATTCCTCATCTATCGATTGCTAAAACTTTATTTACCCATGCATTTTTTCCCTTCATTGAATCAGATCAGATCTGCTCTTTTTCACATTATTGTAGCTCAGACCATCTGTGGCTCTTGAATTGTCAATGTATCAAGAAGTCTTCAAAATAGCACAGATAATGTGAAAAACTCCACTGCTAAAACATTCCTTGCTTCCATAACTTGCAGTATCTCATCAGTTTCTAAGTATAGAACTTAACTGTTTTACTTCATTTCAGCATAATTACTAAAGGGTTGCTATACTAATGAGTCTTTCATGCTATTTGTTCTATAAAATACGTAGAGCTACTTAAGAACAGTATTTTCATAGGGAACAGGTTTTACTTTTAAATGATACGCAACTAAATGTCAATATACTTCCAAGTTGTTTTCCTCAACAATCCACAACAAATAGCTGAAGTAAAATCCTTTTACGTATTTATTTTTGAAAAAGAAAATCAAAAGAGATCTTTTAGAATAACTATAACATGTACTGATTCAATATGAAAACTAAGCCTAAAAAATCTGCTAATGTTACCAGTGTTCCCCATTCGATAATAAAAAGTCTGAATTGATTTTTTCCAGTTTTAGTACAAAAAATATGACATAACGAATTTCAGCTTGATATAACTTGAAATAGCCAATATATTAAACCCCAAAGTGAAATTTAAATTGGCAGTCATGTCAGATACAAGTCCCTGAATGAAGATTAGTTTTAAAACTAATCATTTTCCAACAGGTTGAAGCTTCAAAATGCTAGTTCTTGAATAAAGACTGTTAGATCCATTACTATGACATCAGGCATTTTTTGTTTAGGAAACCAGATCTCCAGCACTCAGTATGTCTGGCTCCTCCTCACCATCTTCTGTGCCCAAGGATTTAATTATTTAAAATTCATTTCTTTTTCTGGATTTGGGAAGTTAGAATTCTGATTTTTACTGATGGAAAGCTGACATTGAGTCAACTATCTGAGGCTAAGGTATAAGGTCAGATTGGTTAATTTTATGTCACTAGGTCTTTATAAGTTAAATTCTTGTTTTTGAGTCAATTCCATAAGTAAAGACATATGTTTTATTTTTATACACACACACATGCACACACCATGTAAATTCATTGATTTGTGGCCATACTGGAGGATGAATTAAAAATATATACATACGCATTAACTAGACTTGCAATTTTAAACTTGACTAAGCCAGATTTTCATTTCTGTGTTCTACCCTATGCCCAGCATGATGAAGACCCTAAATCCCAAAATCAAACAGAACTGGGATGCACTATGTAATAATGAGAGAGGGAGTAAGTTACATTTGATATTAAAATATGTTCTCTGTGATTAAACAGTGAAAGAATTACAAGCTGCATTTGTCCACATCTTGGCCATAAAATCCACCCAAAAGATGCTTCTGTGTAAACAGCAGACAGCTTGAGGATGCAGGAAAAAGCAGCAGCCCGATTGTCAGCTGAAGAGCTAGCTCTGTCACTATCTTCATCCAGACAACGCTCCACAACTTAACAGCTTTCCATACTTTAAAAGTCACTTACTTTTTAATGTAGAACTCACGGAAGCCTCATTTTGTTCATCTAGTCCAATCCTCTTACTACACGAGAAAACTGAGTCAAGTGAATCTGTTAAAGACTACTGACTGAGTAGCATTACCTGAATCAGATTTCTCTGCTCCCAATCTCCTGTCCCTCCCACTGCTTTTTATAACAACTTTTAAAAAAGGAGCACACTTTTATAAATATTTATTGTAATTCATACTATAGGTATCATAGTATCTCAAATGTATTCAGACTGGTGTCTGATTTAAAGGAAGCCTATGCAGGTCTCCAATTTAGAACAAATAATTTTTGTTTGCTGTTTAATTTTCCTTTGGATGATGTTTCCCATAATGCTGGGTACACCCAAATCTATCAATAAATGCCCGATGAATAAATAACCCATATGCATGATTTTCCTAATACTTTATAACTGCTTAGTTCCGCAGTTTTAAGGTAAAACAGAATGGGGGAGGCAAAAAACCTCATGTGAAAATAAAGAAAGAAAAAAAAGAGCACAAATTGGAAAGGACAAGTTTTCTCTTGATAGTCAGTTATGAAATAAAGCAGTCTCATTACATCATAAGTACTTTAACCTTTTCTTGAAAGAAGGGGAAGATTTAAAGATTTATAAAGAAATTTTGCCTCAACTAGGAAATGACTCATATTTGACATATATTGAAATGATAATGCTGATTTCAATAGGCACTCTAAGAGCACTGACTCCTAGGAGAGTAATTCAGTCACGGTTACCTCTTCAGATTTGGATTTTAAACTTTCTTTGTGAAGCTTTAAATGTACGACTGCCTGCTGTAACATGGCACAGTTTCACAGATAAGGCAAAATAAAGGTGAGTAAAAAGAATGTTTTTCTCTTTGTTGATACAAAAATATGCAACGAATCTATCTGTTATCTTCTGCAGATTCTCTTTGGTGGTTTCTATTTCCACAGTTTTAACAGTATAACCCAATTCTGTTGCACTAGTCAGTGGATGGAATAGACAACAAGATACAGAACAAATTAGTCCCCTATCTGCTAACTACTGAACAAATGAGCACTGATAGATTGAATCCATCATGTGCTGATGGAATCCATCACATCAGACATGACTCATCTTTATGTAGGTCCTTTCAACCCTGGTAGAGTGGAAACCCTACTTCCTGCCAACTGAATTTGCTTAACACATATCCTAGAGAAAAGCCAAGTATGCTAAGTCTAAGATGCTGATAGAATATCTTTTTGTCAATATCTTCTTATGGAAATTGATCATTGTTACCTCCCTGCATTCATATTTCACATGTTCTTCTTAAAGCTTTTCATGCTTTGCTATGCACATACGTAGAATTTCACAGTTATAATCAGACAAAACAAAGATATGTATAAAGTATATTTCAATCCTCAAGAACAGCATCTATGCTGAAACATTTTAAAATCCAAGTAACAATTCTCAAGACCCTCTAAAGAAGTCTACTCACTACCTACTTTGGGGTGGGGAAAAAGGTGGGAAATCAGATTATTTTCATAAAGCGAATGAGGGTACAAATGTCCACTAGAGCAAACTGCGGGTCCACAGACGTCTGGCAGATTCCTGCTCCACGACCCTCTGGTCCAAGGCCTCCCTGGCGTCCGGCTACTGCCCTTTAAAGATAACAAAGAACATTCCTTTCCTAACACATACCTGCCTTAGCTGAGATAATGATCTATACAATGCCTGGAAGTCTGACAGCCAGAACCTGTCACAGCCCCCTGCCAGAGTCTTGCAGCCTGACCCTCTCATGAAACCTCCTCCCTTCCCTGTTACCTCAACATCAACCAACCAGAGACTTGTGCACAAGCCAATCATGCACCTTGTGACCCCTCGGTACCCAATGTAACCCTCCCTAATAAAAGAGCTGAGCAACAGACCCTCAGGGCTCACACTGGCACCTCTCCTCTGTGTGGCCTGTTGCCGTCTACAGCAACATACCTAATAAACTCTTTTTCTGTTCTCATCCTTTGGTAGATTACTTTTACTGCCTGCACACTGGCCCGCCGAACCCCATGACACAAATGGGGTTCACACAAACCAAATCTGGATACACCTATGAGAACATACATATACTGGAAAGTGCAGCCCACAGCACCTCCAGTCTAAAAAGGCAAGTGTGACTTTTGGCTGCACTGGACCATTACAGAGCCAAGAAACGAAAGAATAAACTGTATTTCTATTGCTGGGAACTATACAATACCAGACATCTCACAGTTATCTCAGCCTTTCGCAGCTTCTAAGGCTAATACAAACTGCAGCTGACAACCCAAGTAATAATGTAACACCTTTTGAGTGTCTGATGTGTAAAGTTCATTAGTTCTAAGGTCAGCGGTTTACCGCAACAGCCAAATTGTATTCATATCATCAGATGCTACCTACAAAAGACAGCTGTAAAGACCAGGCAGGGGTCTTGATATTGCCCAGACTAGCAAAATCAGTACTAGACAGCCAAAGAGCCCTAACACATTTTTGAACAAAATAAAATACACTAGCCAAATAAAACAAAAATTTCCTGAGGATATTATTCCAAACAGGATTGCCTTAAGCTTCTCTGGGGGTTTTCACAGCGAATTTGAGGGGGAAATGCTGGTCTTTCAAGACATACATCATTAAGTCATTTAAAAATCATTTTCCTTTAGTTGTCATTTACACATACTTGAAATCTGAAAGATCGTGCTTCCGATCTTGTCGGAAGATGCCATTAGAGGAAAGAAAGGAAATTGGATCCTTGTGTTTAACCAAATGTTAAATATTTTTTATTTTACTCACCTGCACACTAAGATGAATCCATTTCTTCACAAGAATTCTCCCCAGTGTCATTATTTTTATTGGAGGCTGCAAACCATTTACTGTGCGATAATAAAACACGGTCTCTTTCTCAGATATTGTAAGCTTGAACACAATCTGCCCATCCGCCGTCTTTTCTATAATACACCTTAGGAAGCAACCAGAAAAGAGAAAAGGTTAGCCTCCAACCAAAAGACATGCTACAGCACTGTGCAATTACGGTGGTGTAACTGACCCCAGACTCCACTCAAAAAAGAGTCACCATGAATAAGCACCTGAATGTCATCATACTCAGGACCAGTATTTTTTAGATTAAGAAGCCCTCTGATTTCAATAAAAAACAGAATTCTTATTTGCAGTATATTCCCCAGAACCTCAACTCCCTTTATCAGAGATTCATGATGGGAGCTGAAGTGGTGGAATCATCCCGCAAAACCAACATTTAGCCTATTGGCTCATTAGTTCCTCTGCTGTTTCTTTTATAGGAAGCGGCACAATCCACCACATCCTGCTTGGGTACTGAGTTACCAGCGCAAATCTTATTCTTTTTTTTTTTTAAATATAAAGAGAGTTTAGCATCCACAGAAGGCTCTAAACTGCCAGCCCTGAAGTCAGAATCGCTCTATTTAATTCCCATGATGAAATGGAGAATGGACAACTGTAGTCTTTACTCACCCCATCATCAAGTGGCCAGAAGCCAAAGCTGGGGTCTGTAAGACCTCGCTCTCCATGACCACATAGCCCAACTGAGGCACTGAGATAATAATGATCTTGGATGAAAGGCCATCCTATTTTCTAAAGACACGGTGAAATATTTTGATCAATCAGAAGAATTTGCAGAAAATGTCTAGGTCTTGTGTCGAGCCAGAAGTGATTAAAAAAAAAATTTGGTCACTATTTTTATCACAACAGCACTCTTTTCTCATCCCTTTAAATAAGTATTTTTTGTTTATTTTTTTTAATTTTTTGTATTATTTTATTTCATACTAATTACATCATTGTATTCCTGGCCACTCTGCACCCACTGAGCAGAAACAGATATGAACTTAAGCCCCTTTCCTCTATTACATTTCAACCTAGCAATTCAACTTTTTAGCAGAAGAGAGAATATTAGGAATGTCTGCTAGTGGCCTACCGTGTGGATTATTCCGTCAAATCTACTATTCAAAGAGAAATATCACCAGCATTATCCATCAGTCCATCAACAAACTATTACTCCCAAATAACAAACTATTAAAGATGCTCATTGGCCCCCGGAATCTCAGACAATAACTCAAGAAGGAGGTGCACCCCAGGGAGAAGAACTTCATCACGTACTAGGCGTCTGGGTTCCCTTCTTCACCCAGTTGCCTCCTACTCAGTTTAGGCATCTCCATGATGATGTCTGATCATGGACTCCTTCTTGCTCAAGGGTCTCAAGGGGCCTTCATTTATGCTTGCTTACACTGTGCTGCCTTGGCAAGGACACCGATCTATTCATCTTCCCATTAGATGAGTTATCTGGGGTTAGAAGCATAGCCTGGTATATGGCAGACCCTCACAAAATGATGAGTTAGTCATCTAATTGAGTAGGAAGAGTCAAAGAGGCAAAGGTAAGACTGGGCCAACAAAGAATTATTGCTAAACATGTTTTAAAACTTTCCTTAGAGGGCACATTTTTCACAAAGCAGTTCATCTCACTTGCATTTATTCTTTCCAAGAGTTGAGAGGTAGTAAGACTGGAGCACACTTAATAGTCACTATTTTACTGTCACCATTTTACTCTATCTTGTACATGTATTTGAAGATAAAGTTATGAGAACTGTGTATTTTTTACCTTAGGCAAGTAAGTTTAGTTGACATAGATTTCATATAAAGTAGAAATGTGGTTCTATGGAAATTCTACATGATTTTTTTGAACTCTTGGGGAGGTGGATATTTCTAAGTCACTGGAATGAGTTTCTCTTTATTCCCTGCCTCCACGTCTTAAACAATCTAAGAAGAGTTTGTCTCTATTGGTTTTTTCTCGAGTTTAAATCTACAAGTTACAATTTGACCATTACTCAAGAATGTATTTGCCAAATGCAGGCTTATTTCCCCAAGCTTACTGAAAATGCATTTCTTAATATGTTATTGATTATCTTCCTTGCTATTTTGTTTGCTTGTAAACATACTAGCCTTGGTAGATAATGAATGTGAGAGGAAGGCAGGTAGCAAAATATTTAGGAACTGGATTTATTTTGCTCCTGGATAAACAATAATTGGATAATCCATGTTTTGTTTGTTTTACTTATCTAGTGCAAACACCCCGAAATTCCCCTAATTCCCATAGGTTTTTTAGTTCTGAGAATGGAAACGACCTTGACGCATGGAACTCTCAAAACTGTAAACCATGTGCTACCGCTTTTGTAAATACTCCTGTCTTCTTTATACAAAATGATACCAATAGAAGATGAATCTGGTAGAGACATACCCCTTGGAAAAAGCCTGGAAAAAATATTTCACCCTAGCCATATATGTCAAGAGACAATTTTTAAGACTCTTTGGACATGAGTTACATAAACTAAAGTAGGTTGGATTTACTGACATTTCAAACAGTACGGAAACAGGGTTTTCTTTTAGGGGACACACAGAAATAGGGATAATGGTCTGTGATGATTTTCACTTCAAATAAAACAAAATGAAAATATGCCAACTTTCACTTGGCAAACTAAAACTAAACACCAAAGATATTTAAGTCATATTTGCTTATGAGATCATAAGACTTTTCTGGTTTGTCTCACAAGTTTTTAGATACAAGGCCAACATCCTCACACAAAGAAACACCACCAGGGGAAGTCAAATGCCCTACGGGAAGATGAAAGATAAGCAAAAAAGTGCCTCAAAACTGTCTTACTTATTCCAGTTTCCATATTGACTCCAAACACTTAGGGGAAACATTGGAAATCATCTTAAGAAATGATTACACAATGAAAAAAAAAACCAGGTGATTATATAAAATAACAAAAAAATGTTAAGGAAGCCCCAATCGGAACTCACTGAAGGCATTCCTACTGGGATCCAAGGCATGAAAGCTTCTGAGAATCTTTTATGCTCATCTCTGTACTTCCCAACAGATGAAGGCAACTTGAGGTAAAGGGCTGAAAGCTACCTCCTCTCAAAGGCGGAGAATCATTCATTTATTCAACTCCTACGACTGAGCATTTTCCATGAGTCAAACAAACATCTCTTCCTGGGAAAATAAGGATGAGAGAGCTATGTGCCTAAGGGAAATTTTACAGTCTAGTGAGGGCAGGTGGTTTATACAAACCTAGACCAACACTGAAAATAGCCATTATTTGTATTACTAGTCCCCATGCCTCAAAAATCACACTGAGCCTGGTTTAGCCTCTGAAGAGTAAGACCAAAGGTTTAGATCAACTACTGAAAATAAAAATGAGCCTGGTGTAAACATGTCCCCGGCAAGGAAGTTATTTTAACATACTATTTTTGGAGGTTTCACTTCGTCCATGGAAAGGAGAAAACTACTTTGAATTTAGAGGGGTGGGGGGAATGTTTGGAATATAACGTTGACGAGGAATGAATGCAGGAGTTGGTCTTCAGTCACATGAGTTCCCAAGCGCTAGCCTTCATTTCGAGCTTAGAACTGAAGTTGCAGGAGCCTTCGCTCGTACTGATTTTTCGGGATCCCAGGAAAGCTTACCCTCCCTCTCCTACTTACATTACACCTTCTTGCTCGGGTTTCAGCCACACAGCTAGAGTAAATGATGCCGCCAGCCGCGGAGCAGGAGGAGAAGCAAAGCACTTCTTGTGACTTCCGAAGATGAAACTTGAAGAATTGCTCTGGGAATTGGGCCGCAGATCATGCCGGTCCACCGTGATGCAGCTCCCGAGGCCGGCTGCAAAGAGGGCGGTGGGGTCCGGGGACGTGGACCGGTAGGGGCAGTCCTGCACGCAGACCCGCTGGCTGCAGAACCGCAGGCTTTCCATAGCCGCCGGGCTCTGACAAAACATGCTCCGCGCCGGGAGTCCACACGTGGCCTGGGCTGGCACAACTGAAACCTTCTTGAAAGCGCCTACATTCTCCAGCCTGGGGAAGAGGCCCCGCGAGTCGGCCCACGGCAGGGACGCTAGATAGGCCAAGAGCAGTGTTTCTGGGACAGGCAACAAGAAGCCCAGGGAAAGAGCCAGGCAATGCATGTTTACAAAAAAGCATTCTCCTCCTGATACAGTCTTCTTAAATAAACAAGGCCAACGGTGCTCGCCAGCCACGCTTCAGAGCAGGGTGCATTAAGTAACGTTGAGATGCTCCATTTCCGGGAAACTGCAGATGTGTTTTCACACCGGGGTAACAGCAAAGGCCTTCTTAGCAATGGTGAAGACATGTGTAGCAGCTGGTGTCTGGGAATCAAAAGAAAAAAACAAAAAACAAAAAACAGTGTCACAGTGTCAAGGAAAACCTGCTACATCTTTAAAACTTCAGTTCACTCTGAGCATGAGGACTCTGAGGCTCAGGCAGAAATTTTAAACTTCTTGAGAAACATTTGAAATCCATTATCTAGACTAAAACACTCATTCTTTGGGTAACTCTCTCATCTCATTGGGCAGATCAAGCACTCTAGAAGTTCACAGGACAACCAGATTTTATACACACATATATGTGTATTTCTACTAATACATTTCCCCCAGTCATTTCAGACGGCTGCTCCACCCCAGGGAATTAGCACAATCCACCCTACTTGACGAGGTAAAGAACTGTATAGATTTCCTTTACACACGCAACGGATGCTGGAACACAGGGCCAACTTGCAGATGTCCCAAATCAAGCTGGCAAAGCACTTCGGGCCTGCCCTCCTCATCCCAGCATGTGCAGCCACAACTTTAAGCTCCCAGTAAAGCTGATTAGAAACCCAACACCATCTGTCCGTCCCACGCCTCAGTATTTAGCAAAGGCTCGTGTGTTTCCCCATATGACTACGCATTTGTAGGTTAAATGTGGACCCTGAATACTGTGTCAGTAATTGTACTGATAAATAAGCTGAGTTACCCTTTCTTTATTGCATTTCAACCAGTCCCCTCAGTGTGACAAATGGCTCTTCCCAGGACCGCTGTCCCTTGTTGCCTGGCAACGCAGCGGTCACCCCCCAGCTACTTTGCTACTCTCAGCAAAGAGGCCACAGCAGCAGGACTACTGCAAGGAAGACTTGGGTGCCCAAGTCAGGGATTCTGCACAGCAAATGTTTGGTTACCTGAAAAACTCAGCGCAGTCAGCTTGCTGGCCCGCCTGGAACTAAGCTCCCCAAGCCTGCAGCAGGTGCCTCAGGCAGTGGGAGGGACCAAAAGGGGGACAGGCATGCATAATTTTAAAGCAGCAGTGCACCTTATCCTCTGATCCTTTTTTGCCCCTCCCCCTTTCCCCACTTGCATGCACCTCAATCCACTTAATCATGTCATCAAAATGATCTGCCACTATTTCACAGGAACACAATGAGTAATTCCCAGTGCCCTCTTTTCTGGTGTACAGACACAATGATACCCTAAAATTTGCACAGTCCACTGATGAAAGTTTCTGTTGACCATTCAGCTGTTACTGCATTCTTCACCCCAGAATACCCTCTCCTAAATATACATGCTTTTCTAGATTATGAAGAGCATCTGATGGTATCTCTAAATGTTGCATTTGGAAGATCAGGGATTTTAATTAAACTGCAGAAGCAAAGGAATTGCTGGCTTTTTTAGCTGCTTGATTGGATATGAAATGTGTGTATTTATGAATGCATAGTTTGATGTCAATTCTATGCAGTTTTATTTCACCCAAAACTCTCTCTTTTCAACCATCTTGGATGTTTTATCCTAAATGAGAACTATCCTAAAGCAACTGACACTTCTATTCCTCCATTAGTATCTTAAGAATGGAAAAGTCATTTGGGAAACAACCAGCCAATTGTGCTTTTAATTTCTGTAAAATAAAACATAATATTTAGACAGATTTATCATTTTTAGAGAAATGTTTAGAAAGGAGAGAGTGTTTGCATGGTGTTTCTTGTTAGTAAGGCAGCCAGGGACAAATCCAAAGTGTCTTCTCTCAGATTTCACTTAATTTCTCTTCCAAGAGATACCTGACGACCACCCTTTTAAGTATCAAGTTTATTTATCAGAACTAGGTGCTTCCAGAGGAAATATTCACCTTTTGACAAATTATCCTATTCATTCTAACTGTTGGTTATTACAATCTTGCAAGGGCAATTTTTTTTATTAAAAAGTAAATTTTAATTTAAAACCAGCTAATAGGTAAGGACTTCTAAAAATTTGGGAAAATATGTTTGGAAATAGATATATAGGACACAGTGAAGTAGACAAATGGATTATTCAGACCTCTTTACAAAACATGCAACCAATATTTGTCTTCAAACAAGTTATACAATGGCTGGCATTTCCTTACGCCTTGTGAATCCAAGGATTAACTTTAGTTTTTAGTTGTTGGGCTTCAGTGTAATTTTGGGGTCACCATTCTGGGGATGAGAAATCTTCTACCACATAACAGCTCCTGCTGTGTGGTGGGAAGTCATGACTCAAAATAGACCATCTAAGATTAGCGACACTGCTCCACATTCAGAAACTCTGCCTGTAATTTGCAAAGGCAGACAATGGATTGACAGATCCCTCCAATTCTGCAATTCAGTGCTATCAACCCTGAAGACACATCTGGTAAATGAACTGGGCACCCACTGTTCCACCACTACTCTAAGTGCCTGAGAATACACATAGGGAAAAAAAAAGTTAAAATGTAGAGGAGGAAAGTTTAGTTAAATACACATAGCCATGTGCTATTTTTTTTTCATATATTTTTGTTGTTTGATTGGGTGGTTCTTCTGCTCTGGACCAGTTAAGATGGTCTGATATTGTCTAACTCACTCATCTAGCAGTTTGCTTGACAGTAATGGGAGTCTACCCCAAGCTCATTCTGACCATAGCAGAAATATTCCCAACAACAGAAGATGGGAGGCCCTAATGTCCAAGTGCTACTCAGGCCTCTGCTTGTTAGCAAATTAACATTTGCTCATGTTCCATGGACCAGAGCAAGTCACATGACCAAGCCCAGATTCAAGGGCTGTGAAATTGACTCCACTCTTCAAAGAGAGTCACCCTGTAAAGAGGCACACGTTAACAGAATGGAAAGGATCTGTGACCATTTCTCAATTTTATACCAAGAGTTCCTAGCAATTTTTTTCTAGTTGTAAAGACATCATGTCACATTGAATCAGAATATTCTTGTGTAAAAAGTCAGGAAAGTGGTATTTCAGTTACACAGCTGTAAGTTTATACTCACTGTGGCAAAGCTTATTATAAGCTTAGTTTTTCAAGCACTTGAGGCTTAGCTCCTGTTGATGGACAAAATCAAGGGGTATCCTTCAGTTTTCAGCATCCATGGATTTACTATTAAAATTGACTAGGGGAGGGTATAGCTCAGTAGAGGATAGGGTGTGCTTAGCATACACAGGGTCCTGTGTTCAATCCCCAGTACCTCCATTAAAAAAATTAGAAAAATAAACAAATAAACCTAATTACCCCTCCAAAAAAAAAAGGATAAAATACTGGTGGGTTTTTAAAAAAGAATGTAAAATTGACTAACCGCTGGCATAACTGATCTAGAAAAAGAACGGCGGATGCGTAGTAAGTAATATTAGATAATGAAACTAGCGGCATAAACTACAGATGCAATGGGGATTACAAAGACAAGAAAATATTGTAGATAATTTTATGAGAATTAAACTTGAGTTCTTAGGGGAATTGGCCAAGTTCCTTAACACTGCCAACTTTAGACTGAGTCAAGAAGAAAGTGATGGAAACAACCCAAATGTCCATCAACTGCAGAATATATAAATAAACTGTGGTATACTCATACACTGGGAGGAGATAGCACAATTAGTACTATCTCCTCACACGACACACAAAGTACTGCTACAAGCAACGTGGATAAGTCTCAGACATTGTAATGAAGTGAAAGAAGGCAGACACACCAAGAACATCCTGTGTGATTCCATTTACATGATGTGCAAACAGTCAAAGCAAATCTATGGTGACAGTCAGAATAGTGTTCTCTCTTTAAAACACTGGAAGATATGGGAAAGGATTCAAAGAAACCAGCAAAAGTGCTGAAATTTCTTTATCTTGATATGGGTGGTGGTGACACAGACAGATGCATTATTAAAAGTTGGTCAAGCTTTACACTTCAGATTTGTGCACTTTGTGCAAAATACACCTCAGTAAAAAATAACAGTAAATGTTAAGACATTAACATGAATTGTTCTATTTATTCTCATTTACAGTTAAATTTCTTCCCACCAGGAAAACAGTGGGCCCAGATAGTTGCACAAATCAGTTATACCACACATCTGGGAAACCTGTAATTCCAATTTTTACAAACATTCCCCAACTTTTTTTTTTTTACAAGGCAGTTATAACCAAGAGTGTGAGAGTGAGACAGAGAGAATATAAAACAGAAGAATATGAGAAAGGAAAATTAAAGACCAATCACACTCATATACACAATGCAAAAAAATTTCTGAATAAAACATAAGCAAACTGAATTCAGAAATATATAAAAAGCTTAAACCCCCTGACCAAGTTGGGTTTGTTCCAGAATTGCAAAATTAGTTTGACTTAAAGTACATTAATATAAGTCACCATAAAAAGAGTTTTAAAAATTTCTGTGATTTTACTTAGGGCTAAAATTCCTAAAAATCTATTTATTTAGGACTGAAATCCTTAATAAACTAGAAACAGAATAAAACTTCTGTAACTTGCCCGTTCATTTACAAAAACAACCAACATCGCAAATAATAATCACAATAATTAGCACTTTTGTAAAAATCAGGAGTAGAGCAAGAACGCCTACTATCCCTGCCTCTAGGCAACATTTTACTAGCCAGTGCATGAAAATAAGGAAAATATTATTATACCAAAGCGTAAGTGCTGAAGATGATTACCAAATCTCATTTGTTTCTGTAGATAACAAAATTTAAAGGCAAATATTTGATCTAGGTTCTGGAGAGAAGATTACATATGATTAATGCTGTTCATCCGTTTTGGCTCCTTTTTTCTAGGCACAGACTACTTGACCCCCTGTTGAATTAGACGTAGCCACGTGACTTGCTTCAGCTGATGAAATAGGAGCCCCTACTAGAGTGGAAACTACAAGGACCAGTGTGCAATTTCCTATGATCACTCTCTCACTCTGCCACGGCCAGATGGTGGCTGCGCTGTCAGCCTCTTGCCCTGGCTGGGAAGACATAGATCAGAATCTGCCTGCCGACCCTATTAGACACATAGCATGTGAGAGAAATAAAACTTACTGTTTAAAGGAATTCTTTTTTGAAATTTTATTGTTCATTATTACTGCAGGTTAACAGCTTAATCTAAGTGATGCAAAGATCAATAAACAAATCAACTGTACTCTATGCCAGCTAGAGAATGAAACAAATTAGAAAATGTAACTGAAAGATGCTATTAGTATCAGTAGGTACTTAGGAACAAATCTAAAAAATGCATTACTACTATGAAAAAAAATCAAATCTTTTTGAATAACATTTAAGAGGCCTAAAACGAAAAGAGAGATATATTATGTTCTTGGATTAACTGATTATCACCAGAATGATGTTTTCATATAGTAACCTGTTAATCCAATGCAATTCCTGTAAAAATCACAACAGAGTTATTCATGGAACTTGTTCTAAACTTATTCTGAAGCATATAAAGAAGAGCAAAGAGCCAACAGCACCCAAGGCACTGCAGAAGTAGAAGATGATGAAGGACTTTGCTAACAGATATCAAGATTTATGT